GGGGGGGGGGGGTGGCGGGGAGGATACCCTCTTTGGATTGGAAGGGTTGGAAAGCACTTTCCCAGACACCCCTGCAGCCAGGGTTCTGGGCATGAATTAAGCTCCATAAGTAGTGCTCACTTCGGCAGCACATATACTAAAATTGGGACAATACAGAGAAGATTAGCATGACCCCTGTGCAATGATGCCATGCAAATTCGTGAAGCATTCCATATTTAAAAATAAATAAGTTCCACAGTAGATGCACTTTTGCAAGATTTTAGAGGTAGAAGTGAGAGAGAAGCCATTTTCTTGTCATGCTTTCAGTGGATTTTGCCAGCAACACCATGGAAAAGTGGTTTTCTGAAGCAACATGCCAGAATCCACTCTCCAGCTACCCAGATCCAGAGGGGCAGTACAGTGACAGCAGTAACAGCTTTATGATTTCAGCTTCCTGATTCTTGGATCACAGTTAAGGGGACTTTTTTTGTTTATTATTGCAGTATCATTCACATACCAAAAAATTCACCTTTTTAAAGAGTACAATTTACAAGTTTTTAGTTTAGTCACAAGTTTTTCCTATATTCACAATTTACAAGTTTTAATATATTCCTTAAGTTGCATAACGACCACCAGAATCTAGTTCTAGACTATTTTTATCATCTCCCAAAAAAATCCTTACCCACTAGCAGTAATTCCCCACTCTCCTCCCCAGCCTCACCCCCAGCAACTAGTTATCTAATTTTCTCTCTATGGATTTGCCTATCCTGGACATTTCATAGAAACAGAAACACACGTGTGCCCTTTTATGACTGGCTTCCTTCATGTAGCATGTTTTCAAGGTTCGTCAATGTTGTAGCTCTTATCAGTACTACATTCCTTTTTATGGCTGAATAATATTCTATGGTAGATGACATTTTGTTTATTTTTTCAGCAATTGATGGACAGTTGGTTTGTTTCCACGTTTTGGCTGCACGAATAATACTGCCATGAACACTCATGCAAGTTTTTGTGCAGACATATCTTGTCAATTCTCTTGGGTACACAGCTAGGAGTGGAATTGCTGGGTCATATGAGGGGCCTATGTTTACATTTTTGAGGAACTGCCAAACTGTTTTCCAAAGAGGCTGCTCCATTTTACATTCCCACCAGCAATGGCTGACACTTTCAACGTCTCTGCATCCTCATAAATGCCCGTTATCGTCTGCTTTTGGACTATGGTCATCCTAGCAGGTGTGAAATAGCATCTCTTCGTGGTTTGATTTGCATTTCCTTATGACTAATGATGTTGAGCATCTTTTCATGTGCATATTGGCTAGTTTTATCTTCTTTGGACAAATGTCTGTTCAAGGGGGCATACACTTTTTTTTTTTTTTTAATTTGAGAGAGAGCATGCATGAGTAGGTGAGAGGGGCAGAGAGAGGGAGAGAATCTCAAGCAGTCTCCACACTCACATTGAGCCTGATGTAGGGCTCGATTCCACCACCCTGGGATCATGACCGAAACTAAAATCAAGAATCAGATGCTTAACTGACAGGGGCCCCAAGGGGCCCTCTTCTCACAGCCTTGGAGGTAAGTAGCCTGCACCAAGGGTGAATTCCATTCTGTTCTGAGCCTTATTCCCAAAAGTAGTGCTTCACACCTGCTCCTTTAGCCCTTCCAACCATTTTGTAAATAGTTGATTTGCTGCCTAAAATAGGTTTTATTTTCTGCCCTGAACTCTGACTGATAAAGCTGTTGAAAAATATTACTCAGAGGCTATTTGCTGGGTTGTTTTCTATTTTACTGCTGTGCTCTAAATATTTAAGGTTGCTAGACAAGCTTTCTCATGTCATACACGTATACATGTACAAGCTTTCTCATGTCATACATGCATACATGTACTAGGTTTCTACTGGTGCCGTAATGAATCACCACAAACTTAGCGGCTTGAACAACACAGGTTTATTATCTTACAGTCTGTGGGTCAGAAGTGCAACATGGGTCTCACGGGGTAAAATCAAGGTGCCTGCAGGGCTGCACTCCTTTCTGGATGCTCTAGGGGAAGACCCATTTCCACGTCCACTGGAGGTAACTCAAATTTCTTCCAGTACTAGGACCGAGGTCCCTGCTTCCTAGAAAGTTGGCAGCTGAGGGCCATACCCAGCTTCTAGAGGCCGACAGCAATTCTTAGCTTGTATCCTCCCCTCCTCCATCTGCAAAGCCAGCAATCGTAGGCTGAATCCCTTCCCTCTCGCACTTTGAATCTGTCCTCCTTCCACCTCATCTCTCCAACCACTCAACTTCCTTCTTTCTCCACTCTGAAGACTGAGGCAATTAGGTTGGGCCATCCCAAGAATCCAGGTAATCTCTCCATCGCAAAGTCCTTAACCTCAATCACATCTGCAGAGTTTCTTTTGCTATGTAAGGTATGTACTCAGGTCCTGAGCTACAGTGAGAACATCTGGGGGAAGGCCATTATCCTTTTTACCCCAGTGAAGATCTTCATGGTTTAAAACTTCCAAGTCAGAAGCCATTTGACATTAGAACTTTAATGTTGGGTTATTGCCACATTCAGATATAGCTTATTATTTTTTTCAAAGTACTTCAAACATCTCGTAACTACCAATTATTACTACTAATAATTACAACCATGATCTGAAGGTATAAAGTACAGATATTTTGACACTAAAGCCCCAGGACATAAAAGTTAATAGCCCAAGTTCCTGCCACTTTTTCTAGCACTGAGACATAGCTGGGTAATAACAGCTTATATTTACCAGCAGCTGGCTGGTTCAGTTGGTGGAGCATGCAACTCCTGACCTCAGGGTCGTGAGTTCAAGCCCCATGTTGGGTGTAGAGCTTGATAGCTAGCTAGCTAGCTAGACAGCATTGTCCATTATCCCCTTTATAATACCTTCTTTTACAATATCCCTGGGAGGCACACAAAATGGAGTAAGTCCATTATTCTCTTTCTACAAATGAGCAAATGGAACTCAGACTAAATAACCTATGCAACATTTCTTTCAGATGAAGCGGTCTCATGAGGGGCATACAACTGATAAATGGACCAGGCAGAGGAAATGAGCAGGTCGCAATCCTCCCAGGGAAAATGGTGACATTTAGAATATTTTTAGGAATGGTATAAAAACAACAAATAGTGCTTGCTGATTTGATCTGAAACAGTGTAAAAGTTAAGCTTTCACTTTGAGGAAAACCAGGGAGTAAGCACTTGCTTTTCAAGGTTTTCATGAAGCTATGCTACCTCACTCTTCTTAAATGAACAGGCGAAGAGGCATTAAAGGCACTCTATCAGATCTGGTCTCTTTTACTAGGGGACGACAAGGGACAGAAGAGTGAGGACAAGTACAGAAAGGCATGCAAAAGCAAATCTAAACAAACCAAAAGTAGGTAGAGATAATAACCAGACACACAGAAGGATGGTCCTGTACCTTCTTCAGATTGTATTCTGCTTCATCAAATATACTGCAGGCTTTAAACTTAAAATCTTTGATTCTATGATTTTTCCAACTGTGATGCTCCCAAAGAAATGAGATAAAATGAGAAAATGACTCAATTCATCTGCATCTGCCTCTTTACCTTCCAGCACCCGTTAGGGAAACAGGATGGTCAATCAGGTACTTGAACTTAGTTCTTCGAACAGGGTGATGCCAGACTTGGTCAATCGGACGCGGAAGAGTGCCCTGGGGATAAAAAAACCAAATATATGAATACACAGCAGAGGGCGCTGTAGTCAAATGAAATCAATCCTTAATCCTTTCCAAGGTTTACGTTAAGGGCGGTTGGATAGTCTGAGGAGAAAAAGAATTCTCATTCAATACTGTGGAGGAAAAGTGAAACTAGGACAATTCCAAAGTGAAAGGAAAATATCAAGACTAAGAGTAGTAATGCTCGCTTAGGTAAATCACGTTTAAAAAAGCATTTCCTTGGCAACACTGGTACAAACGATTTTAGTTTTCAAACTAGGAAATTAATTTTAAAGTATTTTGAAAGACAATCAAGAATACATAGTGTTAAAAAAAGAAACAACAGGCCCAAAATGGAGTAAGATGTGCTAAGCCCCACATCAGCAAACCAACATTTCCGTAACATCTTACCTAACCACAGTTCTGGCATCTCCCAAAGGGGCGTTTTAAGCCCATCAGCTGGAAGTTCCTGATCAGCACGAGTGAGGTAATCAGCCTGACAGGCTCCCACCCTTCCCCCAAGGGGAAGATGACCTTGCCTGAAATAATCCTTTCTTTTGTTAATGACTTCCTTGTCCCTGACCCCTTCTACCAGTAAAAGCCCTCTATTTTGTACAGTTCCTCAGAACTCCTTTCCACTTCCCATATGGGATGCTGCCTGATTCATGAATTGCTGAAGAAAGCCAATTAGGTCTTCAAATTGACTCAGCTGCATTTTGGTTTTTAACAATAACACGCTCAATAAATACTTAATGAGCTGGATACCAAGAAGACGTGTGTTCCCAAGTACTCGATGTATGTGTATGTTCACCTTTGGGGTTTTAGTCTTCTTAGGAGGCAGTAAGTTTTCAGGACAAGGACCAGCATTGGCTGCGGAGGCCAGAGAAAGAAGAACTTCTTCAGGGATGAACTCATTCTGAAGGGATGAAGGAAGGGGTTTTGAACGATCCACCATAGTTTTTTTCTCCTTTAGTTCAGGCAGTCCTAAGAAAGTAATGGGAAAGAAAAACCTGCTGTAGTTTTTTGTAGATTTAGTTCGGAGGTTCCCACGCTGCCTCAATACCATCTGTATATTTCCAACAGAGAAAACACTGCTTCTAGCTGCCAGAAACATAACGCTATTTTAAACACTGAACATCATCTTGTCAAGGGAAAAAAAAAAATTGCCTGCCCCCCTCACTTTTACACCACACACAACTTCAAAAACTGATGCACAATTATTCCAAATTCCAAATTGAAAATTAAACTCACTTCACTTGCTCAATGAAACGGGATAGTCTTAAAATGATGGAAATGTCTATTTCCCCTTTGATGTGAGAATGACAGATCTCTCCTCAAAACTGTCAAATTATTGAGTAATTATTTCTGTGTAAAGTCAAAGGTGAGAATAATCGACATTAAATTGGGGCATTTGTAGAGTGGAAGGGATCAGAATCGGGTTTAAGAGGAAAAGCAGGATTAGGACTGTTGGCAATGAAGAGTGGAATCATCTGAGAAAATCGGCTGAGCAGGAACAGTACGAATGTTCCATTCAGCCTGACTAGGGCAGAGGGATTGTGAAGATGGGGAATGGGGGGGGGGGATAAATAGGAAAAGGCTTCCTATGAAGTCGGTCAAGGAGGGTTGGGCTGTCACTCTTAACAGATCTGCATCCCTTACAAAGTATGCCTTCTGTTAATTTCTACAAGGTCACACCTTCCTGGTTCACCAACAAAACTTCTCAAGTTCACATGACCAAATCTCTTTATCTCTTGAATGTTTGAAAAGGAGTTAGAATATCACAACAGGAAAAAAAAAAAAATGCTGGGTAGGGCTTTAGCGAAATCTTCCCTAAAAACAAGATCAAAGTGTTGGAGGGAGTTTAGCATGGGAGTAGGAATGAGTCTAGCTGATTATTATTCTAGAACAGATCTGCATTATCTGTATATGAATGAAAATTCATAAATAAGGAATTCTCGTCTTTAGAATAATTACTAAAACCCGATACAAACTGGTTCCTTAAAGTCAGAGACCAGGTACCAAAAAAAAATAGTTTCATGCAACTATTGGTACCTAAAATGGGTGAATTTAAAACAATATAAAACTGGGAGCCTGGGCAGCTCAGTTGGTTAAACGTCAGACTTGGGCTCAGGGCATCATCTCACAGCGAGTTCGAGCCCCTCATTGGGCATCGCTGCACACAGCCTGCTATGGATCCTTAGATCCCCCCCTCTCTCTCTGCCCCTCCCCCCTTGTGCTTGTTCACTCACTCTCTCTAAAAAATAAATATAAAAAATTTTAAATAATAACACAATATAAAGCTCATCATCATTTGGGGCACCTGGGTGGCATAGTCAGTTAAGCGTGGGATTCTTGGTTTCTGCTTAGGTCATGATCTCCCAGTTTACTGGGTTTTAGCCCTGCATCAGGCTCTGTGCAGGCGGCGCAGAGCCTGCTTGGGATACTTTCTCTCCCTTCCCCACTTGTGCTGTCTCTCTCAAAATAAATAAATAAAACAAACAAAAAACTCAACATCTGAAAACAAAAATTAGTCTTTAGGTGGAGTAGTGAGGCAGGACTCTAACTCAAAAATACTATAAAAGGAATGTTTTTTTTTTTTTTTTATTGAAACGAGTGTATTGGAAAATGCAACTAATTAAGGTAGCCTGATATCTCAGATTCTGGAAAAAGGTGAATGGATTGTGGATTGTGAGTTCCGATTACGGCCATGATCACTGATGTCTGCGGGATCCATGAAGAACTTTACCTGTCTCTTCCTTGGATGCAGAGACTTTTAATTTTTTGCCCTCTGCCGTTGACACGGAGGTTAGCAATGTGGAGGGCGTTTTTGGAAGAGACATAATCAACAATGCCTCCTACCACTTTCTTTAGTAATTTGGAACGTCCCTCCAAAAAGCTAACTTAGAAACAAATCCTCAGCGTCCTGGGATTTGGCAGGTTTGCCACACTGTCCTGCAGACAAAAAAAAAGAGGGGGGGGGGGAAGTCCCATTAAGTGCTTAAGAAAAATATGCAAAAATATGGATTTTAGAAAAATATGCAAAGATCAGAGTTTTGAGTCTTAAGATCAGAGTTTATAATACATCTGGCGTGGGTTTTCCTTCTTTGGGGAGATTTCTGGGTTCTCTCACATCACCTGACGCGACTGAAGCCTACGGGTGGGTCAGGGTCTGGGTCCAGGCCGGGTAGGGCACGCTCGGCCCACCCACCTACCGCGGGCCCCACCCGAAGGGCGCCCCTCGGTCCAGGTGGGGAGCTCCGGCCCCCGGCCTCCCGACACGCAGCGTCCTTGAGCACGCCGCCTCCGCGGACTCCGGGCGGGGCAGGGGGCGCGCCCAGGCGGCAATGGACGTGATGGGAAACACGCACTTGGAGCCAGTACCTGTGAATTGTGTTTCCCGCCAGACATCTGGTCGCTTCGCCCTTTCCCGGAACGCCTGCGTGTTGTCATAGAAACCCAGGACCCCGAGCTTTCGCAACGCTCACTGGGGGCTGTCTTGGGCGGTGCCTGCGGAGCGGGGAGACAGCTAACAAACAATCCCAACACTCGGGGATTCGGGGGTTTTCACCGCGGCATAGGTTCAGCAACAACAGAATACAGAAATATTTAATCGGGCCGTTCTCACGGAGTGCGAAAGTGTCTAGATCCCGGTGCTTCCGCCCGCAGGTCGTCGCCAGTGCGCAGGCGCTAGCAGTGGCCGGGGTCGCTCTTCCCCTCCCCCGGGAAGGACCTCAGTGGCTCCCGACAGCAGGTATCGATGAATTGGAGCCAGCCTCCCGTAAGAGATTTGTTTTTCCATCGATCTCTCCCACTTTTATGTTGTTTTGCATATTTTTCTAAAAGCCAAATTCAAGGAGAAATTAGGGAATCAAAAGCTCTGGGTCCCCAGCAGTTGAGGCTTCCTTGCCGATGCTGCCCCCTGGCCTTGACATCTCCAACAAGTCTTCCTTGGGCACTTAAGCACAGCCCTCTGCCCCACCCCATAACCGACCCAGTACACTGAAGAAAGCATTCTTAGGTCTAGGCTTGTTGTGGCTGGAGGCAGGGAAGGAGACTACAGTTGAGGCGAAACCAACCCAAGTAACATCGTTGGGTCTTCTTAAAACCCTGTTCTCGGGGAACTGAGAGGAGGAACTGAGATCCCGCCCCCAAGGATCATTTTCTGTTAAGATGGAGACTTAATGCCAAACAAGGATGGCTGGAATCCCAGTGTCTGGATGACTCCAGTCTAGCAAATAAACTTTAAAAGGAAAGGGAACTTATCTTGTTCAACAGCCCCATTCCTTAGTACCAAGCACAGTACAAGCCCGGCCCAAACACCTTCAGTCCATGGTATTTGAAAATCAACTGGACCGTTCTACTGTCCTGTGCTGACGGATTTGGTTTTTGATGTTCAGGGTAATAGCAATGAAAAATATGAGCAAGTGTTGAAAATAAAAACAGCACAATCCCTGTGGTCCCTTCTAATTCTCCTAGGCAACCACCTTGGCTGTCTGAGCATTTTAGCCTTTAACCCTATCCCATCACCCTAGTTTTTCTCTAGATTTTCCAACAATTAAAATACACACATAGCACTCGTAGAGCACACATGAACTGGCAGTCACCAAAATCGGCTAAGGGCAGAAACAATGCAGAAGCAGGTGGACAGTAATTTTCCTGCAAATTGTATTTGTGTTTCTCCATCTTCATCGGTGTTGTGACTATACATTTCTAGTTTGGAACCATAAGAAGACTGAACTTCAGAGGCCCTAAAATTACAGCTCTCGGCTTATACAGTTTATCAAGGCTTTGGGTACTGGAAGAACAAAATAATTCATCTTACACATTCTTAACCTGTTTTTTTTTTTTAATCTCAGTAGGACATTGATAGAAGAGGTGAAGACCCGCAAACAGATTCAAGAGATACATAGAAGTATAATCCAGGGGCACCTAAGTGGTGCAGTGGGTTAAGTGTCCAACTCTTGATCTCAGCTCAGGTCCTATCAGGGCTCCTGGGATTGAGCCCCACCTCGGGTTCTTGGCTGCCAGCCTGAAGCCTGCTTGGATTCTTTCTCCCTCTGTTTCTGTTCCTCCTCCATGCACTCGCTCTACAGCAAAGGTTAACTTCTCATTTTCTGTCCTGTGCAGGGGTGTGGTGATTACACAGGCTGTTTCCTGAGCAAAGTTGTAGAAGTGTATGGAGTAATAAGCACAAGAACAGATGAGAATTTAAGAACATCACAATTGGGGTGCCTGGGTGGCTCAGTCGGTCAAGCACCCGACTTGGGCTCAGGTCATGATCTGCCGGTTCATGGGTTCGAGCCCCGTGTCTGGCTCTGTGCTGCCAGCTCAGAGCCTGGAGACTGCTTTGGACTGTGTCTCCCTCTCTCTCTGCCCCTCCCACACTTTCACTCTGTCTCTGTCTCTCTCTCAAAAACAAACATAAAAAATTTAAAAAAAAATTACAGTAAGACCATAGCTATCGAAGAACACAGTTGCTACTCTTGGGAAATTCCTCTTGTAATTTTGAATGCTAGCAAGGGAACCTAAAGCGGACAAAGGTAAAGTATTATTGAGGTCTTTGATGGAAAATATCACAGCAAAGGGTGCCTGGGTGGCCCAGTCGGTTAAGTGTCTGACTCTTGGTTTCAGCACAGAGCACAATCTCACGGTTTCATGAGTTCGAGCCCCACATCAGGCTGTGCGCTGACAGTGCAGAGCCTGCTTGGAATTCTCTCTCTCCCTCTCTCTGCCCTTCCCCCACTTGCTTCTCTGGCTCTCTCAAGTAAATAAACGGAAGGAAGGAAGGGAGGGAGGGAGGGAGGGAGGGAGGGAGGGAGGAAGGAAGGAAGGAAGGAAGGAAGGAAGGAAGGAAGGAAGGAAGGAAGGAAGGAAGGAAGGAAGGAAGGAAGGAAAAATATCACAGCAAAATCCAAGATGAGCAGGTAATAATTTTCCTAAATAGAAAACCTCACGATAGTAAAAATGTCAGCCCAAGGTAGAAGCAGGGCTAACTAAGCTGGCTGGCATTGGCTGACTTCGGTGGCAGCTTAACACCAACTCAGCAGGAGGGTCCTCCGGCTTTGAGTGGACGTCATCTCAGAACAGAACCAGTCAGTGTGATCACTAAACATGCCCTCAACTGGGAAAAGAAACTACAAACAGAGGGAGCGTGTTTGCACCCATCTCCTTTGTACCAATTCATTTTCTAAATGTGTGGGCAGGGATTGGACACCCACCTGCGGGCACTTACATGTCGCATGCATGGCTCCAGGAGGGAGTTTGAGTGGGAAGCAGGCCAGTGTTTGTACTTAATGTAAAGAACGAAGCTACCAATAAATGTTGTGAAAGAGACGTGAGGGAAAGAAATCAAGACGTTAGGAAAAGTACTGCCCAGCCAAGCACTTCTCAGGGGAAGCGGAACATCAGCCGGTCTTAGTTCCATCATTCAATTCACTTAAGTACCCTCCTTCTGATTCCCCGTGGGTGTGGCTACAGGAAGAACTATGCTTTCGGCTTTGTTCACAAGCATTATCTTCAGTGCAGAGCACAGTACCGGAACATGGCATTGATGCAGTCTAGAACAAACTCCTCTTTCTCATCAGACCATAAAGTGGGCTTCTACAGAGCAAATTCAGTCAGCAACCGTGCTGGGCTGAGTATGCCCGTCCATGTGCGATTTCTCGTGGTACATGTACAAACCGGTATGCCAGTTTTATTCACCAGATCCATGACCGTAGGTAGTTGAGTCCAAATGCAGGCTGAGCCTAAAAGGTCAGCACCCTCAACTTCGGTAAGTTCATCAAGGAAAACTACCACACTGTGGCTTCGCCCCTAGTGCCAATCAGTACTCACGTGGTCCAAGAAACAGGGCGGGAGGGGGACACCTAAGGGGGAAGGGACATCCCCCTTCCCACTCCTCTGGTCCCGCAGAGGCAGGTGGGTAGAGCTAGACCATGGAAGACTAGAGAAATTCTTGGCTGTCCGTGTGATAAATGCTTTTATGGAAAGAGTGTTGTGATATCCAATCCTGGTCGTAATAGGTTTCTATTAGGAGGAGATTCTTTGGAGGAAGGAAAGCAATGTCTCTCGCTTCAAAATCAGTTTCCCCAAGTCTTCTCTGAAAAGGCACGCTTCTTGACCAACAGATTTTCCACCTCTCATTAGAAAACGAAGTCCATTTCTGCCCATTAGGGGAGGGGGTAGATGCATTTTCAGAAACAGCCATTCACAAGTTCTAAGAGGCCAAGAGCAAAAGGAATCAAGCAAGCAACAAGCAAAGACCACAATAAAGAGGAGGCTCCAAGTGTCACTGTCACAACTGGGCCTTGTTATTTATTAACCTGGCATCTGTAACCTGGCTCCTCCTCTATCATTCTGGATAAGAAAATTGTTCTTTGCCTTCTCTCTGGCTATCTTCAGCACATAAAGCTGCCTGATATGGAGATGAAAAACATTTATAATTATGAAATATGTAGATGATATGGAATAAACTTGGAAGTTACTGTGAAAACAACAGAGACTAGGTTTTCTCCAAATATATTTATTCCCCACACTCTTCAAATATGCAACAGGTTACCATTTTTGAATGTAGATTTTAAGTTCACATGAAGACAGTGCATACTAAAGAAAGTGATGGTACCGGTGATTCGACAACCAGGGAAGGGGACGAGGGGATGGAGCTCCTGAATCGGAAACTCAGAAAAAGAGTAAACACGACTGAATCAGAAAAGACCTCGGGTTCTCCATGACCCTTCTGCTGCGCTCAGAACACGACAGATTTAAAGCACAAGCTGGACAGGTGGAGACCCAGGAAGGACAGAGTGCTGGCTGGCTGGGGCCTGAGCTCTCTCCTCTCACC